GTTGATGTATGTGCGTTTGAATGCTTGAATCATGTCTAGGATATGTTTGATTCGGTAATAATTGATTATCATTAGTAATAATCAATTATATGCGCGTTGGTTTTGAGTGTGATTTCCGGAATAATCGATTATCACGGATGATAATCGATTATCCCTTCCTACGTGATGTTTCTTGGTAAATTTCACTAAGATAAACGATTATCTTAAGTGATAATTGATTATCACAGTGCATTCTGGTGAAAATGACGAATTTGATGAAGAATGGACGTGAACCAAGCATGAGGAGCTGTGGAACATGATGATAATCAAATATTGAGGTTAGTGGTTATGTTTAGGATTAGTTTGACTTGTGGTTGAGAGTGGATCATGAGTGAGTGATGGGATGTACCTAAGTATGTGATTGATGAGCATGAGAGTGGGAGAATAAGTCTACTTGTTGTACCTCGTAAATCCTGGTTCTATCTGCGAATAAGTGCTTCCTTTTGCCTTGTGTGCATTGGAAGGAGATGATTTGTAGGGGAGGGTACAGATGTCATGTAGGAGAGACTACAGGTGGGCTGTAGGAGCGACTACAATCGGTGAGATAGGGTACAAGAGTGAGATGGACTCTTTCCACTATGGTATTGTGGTGCGGTGATGCTCATGGTGTTGTTCATGACTAGGATAGTCATGATGGTGGTGTATCTATGATGATGATGATCATGGTACTTAAGATGTTGCAGGTCATGTTATGTTGATAGTGGTGTTACTATAATGGTTATAGTAAGTAGTTAGCATGAGCGTCAATGAGTGGATAGATCAAGGGTCTATATGTGAGATGTCAGTGATCACATCAAGGGTTAGAGATCAAGGATTGATAGTCTAATTTCAAGAATTGAGGATCAAAGATCGAGTAATTCAGTATGATTGAATTGTTTAGGATAGAGAATTAAGAATTTTATTGTTATTACTACTTTGTGTGGGGTGTTTGATTATGGTTGATATAATCAGTATGTATGTACCTTGTTGTTATGATTATTTTACCGGTAGTTTACCCAATACATGTTTGTGTTTATGTGTTTCTGAATGAAGTTATCGGTGATGATCGTATAATGTGTTATACGTGAGCAGATAATGTTATAGATGTTCTAGAGGCATGATTGATTTGAGAGAGGATGAAAAATAACCTTGATTTTCATTTATAGCTATTTTGTTTTACAAGTTAAGACAATATAATTGGAGTATTTCCTTTGTTATTTTATTACTCAAAGTAATGTAATTGGATAAGGTTTTATTTAAGTACGTTTCTACGCTATGATAAATTATAAATTTACCGATCTTTAAAAACCTATGACATCTCAGAAATCGGGATGTTACATTAACTAGACGACTTTAATAATACAAGTATTAGACAAGTTGTCTTTTATGTTTTCTTCTCTATCTTTAAGAACACTTTATTACTTTTTCAAGCTTATGATTCTAGTTTCTCTTGGTTATGGGGAAATCTCCAATTCAATAATGCTTGCATTGTTTAAGACATTAAACGATTCATCATTGTCTCATCTATATAGACTATGTATGAGCTTACTTTCACTTGATCAACTACACAACGACAAGTCATAATTATTAGGAAACATTCATTTTATCATTATAAAAACTTAGTTTTTGAATAATTCATCAAATTATCTAAGAAAATTTCATAAAATAGACTCCTTAATAAGACTGCTCTAGCTAGATTGATCAGTACATTTCATTTGCATGGAACAATATGGTTCAAAAACTTATTTTAATGCATAATTTCATTTAAAGCCAATTTTATATCATTTGGACAAATCCCACTTAAAACATTAGTTTTAAATCCAATTAACCTTAAGATAAGAGTAATTGCATTAAAAGTATAAAATTGAAATCACACTAGTGCAGTCAGGGGATACGACAACGGTTATTTTCGCTGATAGGATCGGTTCCTGAACCGAGGCATATTCAGGCGAGGCAAAAAGTGGTAGACTTTATGCCTCGGTTCTGAACCGAGGCATAAAATGGTAGGATTATGCCTCGGTTCCTTGCGAACTGAGGCCCTTTCTCCCCCTTTACTGCCTCAGTTGGAGCTTGAACTGAGGCAATAAGGTTCTTTTTTTTCTTCTTCTTGAGGCCTGCACCAAGAGCCATGAGGTAACAAGTTTGTGAAAGTTTTCCATCAACAACCTACAGCAAAAGAACATGTGAATATATATTGGCATCCTGAAACATCAGTGGGTTATGGGTGAAAGTAAAATGGACACGAACAATCAAACTGCTATCCTTCATGTCATATCAAAACAAAAATAAAGAGCAACTTGCAAGGATAATTTTAGCCGTCTGGAAAATAATTGCAAGTTGTTCTTTAAAGCATATGATCGCAAAAGTCAAAGGGAGTAAAACACTCACTGGATTAGTTGTTCTCCACCCAATTGACACAGTTAAACACAGCGGCAGTTCCCCCGTAGCATGCATTAGTTGAATCAACACCCTCAATGTCACTATTTCCGCATTTCTGTTCATTTCAAACAAATAAAGAACTTTCATTTGTAGTGGAAAGTAAAGGAGAAATGGATGAAAGATCAAGAAAATGATAATATGACAGAAAAATCCAATCAGATAATTAACAATGTAATTTTCCAATAAAACAGTAAAACGTTATGAAGATGGTAACTGGTAACTATTAGGATAAAAAACGAACAGCAAGTAAATAGGCATTTAAACTACAATTAGAAGATGAACATGACAATCTATTGTGCCAGCCTTTACTTTTGGGTTGAAGGAATTTAATGTGATTTTTTGAATAATATTCTAATCGTTATTATTAATAATAAAATAAATTCAAGTTACTAAACATAAATGCAAAAAGGACAAAATTTGAATCCAAATTGTAATATGCAGCAGAATTATTAAAGAGTAATTTGGAACGTTGAAAATCTAAATGTTATCCTTGTTCATATTATTAACTTCCACTTGGTTTGAAACCTTGAAAATAAGCAAAAAAAAAAAAAAAAGGTAATCGAGTAAAACAAAAGCCAGGAACTTGAACCTCTGCATGAGTCCGAATTTCGACCTGGATGCAAATCAAAAACCATTAAATTAGAGGGTCACGGATGTCGGGACAGAAAGTGAAGGGGCGAGAATAATATTTCTCTCCCCAGAACAAAAAAGAGACCCAGTAAGCCGGATCAAAGTGAAGGAAAAAGTGGTGGAGAGAAAGAAAATAAAGAGATAAACTTGAACAGATCTGGAACATTGCTTGCATGCAAATAAAAAGGAAAAAAATTATTTTTATTTATTTATTTGGAAAGTGGAGGAATTTTAGGACATACCGGAGGAGGCGAAAGCGTCGTTCCAAGAGGGTGGTGCAGCGACGGCGGTCTGCAGCGGCGTGAACTCGTCAAGCGGAGCACCAAGGAGAGAGCAATGGAAGCAGCGACAATGGAGGGCGAGAATAAATGAACAATAGAAAGAGAGCGCGGGATGAAGAAGAAGAAAATGGAGGGTGAGACGAAGAAGAAGAGAGCGTGCGCGATGAAGAGAAGAAATGAAAAGTAGGGTAAAAACTTTTGAATCTAGGTAGAAATGCAAGAGCTATTACCTCCGTTCTACCACTGACCGAAGTAATACACCCATTATGCCCTGGTTAAGTAACAACCCGATGTCTATGCTCCTCTAAAAAAATTTTAAAAAAATCATTAATGGCAGTTTTTGTAATTTTCTTCACCTTATACGCCTCGGTTCTACAACAACCGAAGCATAAACAGCTTTATACACCGGTTCTGCAGCAACCGATGTCATAGTGCAAAGCAGGTCAGGTGACAGAGCAGGTGACAGAGAAAATGTGAGATTTTGACAGACTATTAGGCGTCGGTACTTCCTTTAACCGAGGTAATAGTATATATATGTTTCGTTCCTACATTTAACCGAAGCCTATTTGACGAGGTTAAACACCGTCTTTTTACTAGTGTCACCTGTAAAAGGTTGTAATTCTACCCAGAAAGGCCATGAATATATATTTGATTTTTCTTTTTCAGTAGGTAAAGTAATTTGATATAAAATAATTAGTTGACAATGATTTTTAACACCTTTCCATTTTCTTTTGGTTACCAGAACACCGTTCCTTTTGATGAACAGTGTAATGATCTGTAAAAAGAAGGCTGTAACGTGTGACTGTGATCTATACTGTCGTTGTGTCGATCGTGTCTTTCGTGCCAATGATTGTTAGCTTCCGTCATGAAGATAAACGTTTTTTTTTTTACTTTTTAGGCTCAACTTTATATCTGTCCCCTTCTCCATTACACAGCCCTCATGCCACTAGCTACATGCATAATTTAATCATGCTGATATACGAATAACCACCACATAAACATTAACATTAGGACATCAATTATTGCAGCATATGAAAATATACAAAAGTGTTCTCATTACTAAAATAATAATTAATTCCTCCACGTTATCGTCTTCCAACTTTCACTTTAATTTCATAAATGTGAAAAAAAATACACACGGTAATGATATAAGACTATATTCAATAATTTAAAAATACAAAGTGCTGAAACTCAATCCCATTATTGATTTATTACGGTATGAGATGTAACAACATAAACACAACATACTACAGCTTCACACAAATTCATCTATGGTCAAAAGATGAACCCTAAACTCCAAAACATTGTTCTTGCATTGAGAAGTGACCCACTTGACCATGTAGAATTTTTATTACACTTTTAGGTTAAATATTTATGGACCTCAATTTTTATTATCACTTTTGCTTATTTTCTCTTTGGACTTCTTTGTTTAATTATCACATATTGCTATGGGAATCCATGATGTTCTTAGGGTTTTCGATTTGCTTCTTCTCTTCTATTTGGATCCTCAGTAGCAATCTCAGTCACAGCACCACTGCTTACATGATTCAGCTCAGATGCTTCCCCAATGTCAACAATCTCATGATTATTTGGTTCTTGCAATTTCGTTACCTTATTTGTCTTGGGGTTTCTTTAAATCAAATACAGCACCATCTGAATTATGCCGAATAGAAAACCTAGAGTGTTTGGGAGCTGCATCATCCAAATGGAAACGGTAAATGGACTTTTTAGAAATCAAATTAGAATTTATTTATTTTTCTGGTATAGGTTATATCAAATCGAAAGGAATCAAAATTAAAATGTTCAGCATATATAAGTATGAGATAAGATTTTTGAAATTATATAATAATATAATTGGGGGACCCTTGTTTTCATTTGACTTCCTTTTTCATATGGGACTCAATAGAGTGCGTACAGGTAATAAATTACGATTAAATTGACATTATCACTTATTAAAGCGCAAGGAAAAGTAATGGAAGGAAATGAGAAGGTGATAGAGGAAAGGACTTAGTCCGAATAAGACAAAAGTTTAATATAATATGAATAAATGCTCCAAATAAACCGACATTGAATGATTGAATTTAACTTACAGCGATGTAGTAGTCGTTGAGGAGAAGGCCATAGAAGAACCACATGATAGCATTTAAGGTCAAAAAGAAGGACAAACTTAAAGGCATGAATTCCACGCTTTTCGTCTTTATCACACGTTTCTGCATGCATGCATCAACCATATATAAGAATTAACTTTTGTCGAGAGCTTCAGAAAAAAAATAGTGCAAAGAGGTTGATGATGAAATTCCTCTACATGCATAAAGAAATTGCAAACTTTGTCATTGAAAAAGAATAACGAAAAAACTCTTTCACTGATGTCATTTAGGGATTTTGTTTTTATTTTTTTTAAAAGAATATATTTAAAAAAAAAAGGTTCTTTGTTGGAAATAAAAAAACTTTTATGCAATTTCACAGGTGTGGATACTACTTTCCAATTACATTTTCCGTTTCAAATAATGAAATTTTTCATTATTCACGTTTAAAAAAACGTTCAATTTTGATGGAAGCATAAGTTTCTAAACATACTCCTTGGTTTTGTATAACAATAAAAAAAATATTTTTTAATCTCAATATAATAGATGTAATTTTTAGATGAAATTTTAAATATGATTTTAAAAAAAATAAAACCTGTGATTCTACATACAAATTTTGTTGCAGTATGCTAGACTCCTTTTGGTTTAACAATTTGGGGGAACTGGTGCAAGTAATTAAAAAGAAAAAATTTAATGCCGTTTTATCCCAAGTAACTTTGGTTGAAGAGATACTATTTAGAGTTGATTAGTCTATGTGTAGAGCTGTAGAGGACAACAACGAATGCTCAATTATGGCAAAAACCAAACTGCTATTTTACCCAAAAAAATCAATCAATTTTGAAAAAAAAAGCTATTTACTTTGGCTTTCAATTATTAGATTGATTTTGAATTTTATTTTCTTTAGATTAATTTGGATTTTAAAATCGTATGCATATTTACGATCTGAATTCTTACCATAATCCCGAGAGGAGCAGCGAATACGCTTATATTGAAAACGAGAGAAATCCATCCAATCACTTTAAGGCGTTTGGATCCTTTTGTTAGGAAGAGAGTTAAAAGAAGCATGCCTCCGAACCCAAAAACATCCAACAAGAAAACAATCATCATGGTCGAAAGCTGTGACAACATTTTATAGAAGGAAAGTAATTAGTTTTTTTATTTTTCAAATTAAATAGAAAAAGAAATTATTATAAGAAGGAGTTATTAATTATAAGAAGGAAAACCCTGGTTTTTCTGGCTGCATAAATTAAGAAGATGGCAAGGTAGAGTGTCTCTATGACACATCCAAAGGAGTTAATAGTAATGAGAAGGAGGGTGCCCTCCCTTTTTACGAGTGCGTAATAAATCCACAGCATTGAACTGAACAATGCAACAATATAAGGTAATGATTGAAACCCCTCCGAGGACTTCTTCTTGTATATTTGGTAAAAAGTTGGTCTGCATTCATCAGATATAATCCACATATTACATAAACCATATGCTCCTCATCAATTAATTACAATATGTAATGCTATATTATTAAATCACTTACAGTGGAGCGAGGAACACCATAAAGGCGATGATGTTTCCTTATTACACCCAAAAACAAAACAAGAGACATCCATCAGTACTTATGAACAAATTGAGATTATTAATATTATTATCATAATTCATTATATTACTACAATAACCTCCTCCTATTCCTCTTACTATTGTTATTATTTCTACCAAAGTTCTGCCCTAATTCAATAGTGTTGCTTTCAAGTATTATGATTTATTATTCTTTATAATCTACAGCTATACCATGCAATGTTCGTTCCGCATATGGTTCAAATATCATATAGGTAATAATGTCTGAAATATCTCCCATGTAAACATAGTATATTTTCTGAAATGTCCCTTTAGATCTTCATTAACGAGGTCAAGGGTGAAGAACTTTTGGGGAAGGGTAGCGTGATACCAAAGTGGAAAGTGAACATTATAAGTATTTTTTTGTGTTTAATGAAGAATTTTTATCGATAGAAATAAATCAGTAATCAAAATTATTGATAAATTTTAAAATTTAAATTATCAATAAATATTTCTATCAGTAATGAATAAGTGAATAAAATTCATCGCAAGAATCTATGGATAAATTACAATTTATATTATTTTTTGTTGGTAAATTTTATTGATATTTTATATTCTTATTATCAGTGAATATTTTCATTTTTTTTTTTTTTTTTTATTATTAAGCTTCTCTTATGTTGGGTTTGGAATTTTTAAAAAGAAAAATATTCATATCCTCTTAATCGATTTATTGGAAACTATTTTGTCCAGTTGATATAATTTTTAACTAATTATTATAAAAATTAACAACATATATTTGATACTCGAATTACGTTAGTGTATGTTTTTTTTTCACAAAGATATAAACAGTAACACACACTTTTGCAAGAAGTTTGCTCAAAGCATCATTCTTAAAGTAGATGAAAAATATGAAAATAATAAATAAAAAAAATAAAGTGGAATATGCTGTAGAGATTTATGGTATTAGTATGTACCTAGAAGGCCGAAAATGAAAGCCAAAGTTTGGTGATGAATGGGCATGTTAAAATGTGTTTACTACTATGAGTGCTCACGAAAAGGTGTAGATAGGATTCTCTCAATGTGAAAACCCTCTCTCACTTGAGTTTATCTCTTCTTACTTTCAATTGCACTTAGTAAATATGATAAGAATTAGAGTCTATTTATAGTACATAAAAGGGAAGTAATGCAAGTCAAGTTGCTAAGAGAAGTGAAACATCAAAATACTTCATCATTTTAAATATATCAATACTTATCATATATTTATTTAATTTGTAGTTTTATAAAAACTAGATTTTATCATACATATATAGCTTGTAAAGGAGGTTATAAACTACTTATTATGTTGGAATGAAAAAATTAAATTCATTTATTGAATATAAATAAATTAGTTTTTGCCTAAGACATTGTGTTCAGAACAGTTTTAAATAAATTTTATTTGAATGCAAAATATAAATATAGAGTAAAAATGGTAAGTATGAAGTTAAACAAAGAAAAAATATTTAGAAGAGGACAACAAACTATATTTTATAATTCACTAAAACACCCATAAAAGTGATTTTATTATATGAAAGGTCTTTTTTTTCGAAACAACTTAAAAAATCATCCAATTATAGAATTATAGAATTATAGAATTATAGAATTATAGAATTATAAAATTACCAAATTATAAAATTATTATAAAATATAAAATTATTTAATTCTAATATTATAAAATAATAAAGCTTTTAAAATTGTAAAATATCAAACTATCAAATTATAAAATTATAATTTTTTTAAATTATAAAACTATCAAATTATAAAATTATAAATTTGTAAAATTTTAAGATTATAAAATTGATAAAATTATAAGATTATGAAATTACTAAATTGTCATGTACTAATTATGGGATAATAAGATTATAAAGTTATAAAAATATAAAATTATTAAATCAAAAAATTACATAAACTGAAAAGTTATAAAATTATAAAATATTAAAATAGTTTTTTTTTAAATAATAAATTGATATTTGTGACAATTAAGTAACATAAAAGAATAAGATAACAAGTGCATCAACCAATTAACATAGAAAACTTAATTGCATATACTGAAAACTATAAAAGTTTTTAAGTTCTTCTGATAATTTAATAGTCAAAACATCCAAACTTATCACTACTTAAAATTTAATTAAGTCATTTTTTTATTTTGATTATGTTAAGTTGTTTACCATTAGTTCTTTTTCCACTCAATGTAAACTAGATGGAAGTGCATATCAAATCTTTATTTAGTAGCGATTTTAAATTTTTTTGTCCCAATTTTTTTTTAAGTTGTAATTTTAACTTTTATAAAAGTTCAATTTAATACTTGATTTTTTAATTCTTTAAGCTTAATATTTGATTGTCATTTGAGAAATTTCATTTGCAATTCACGTTGACTAAATTAAGTGTTTTTGGCCTCATAATATATAAACAAGGTAATAGATATTTTAATTCATTAGATATAAGAAGTGAAATGAATGTAATAAATAAAAAGAATTAAAAATATATTGAATAAAGATCAAATTAAATTAGGTGATAATTCCATGTAATTTCTACCTTTTTTAATATTGTAAAAAAGTGATTTCCTTTCAATTTTATTTTGCCATATATCCAAAGTTAATAGAACAAGGTGTGTTTTTATTGGTACTCAATCTCATTGCTCAGCCACCATGCATAGAAGACCCCTCTTTGAACTTTTTTTTATAAACGAACTATTTACATATATTTTTTTTCATTGTAATTTAATTCACTTATATTGGGAGAAAATCCCCTAAAAGTAAGGTTATATATTTCGTCTTCAATCTCAGATCCATGTCTTTCTTCGATGATACATTGATTCATAAAAGTATAATTCACTTGTAGGTTTGGTAACTTGGAAAAAATTATTTTCATCATGTACAAAAATAGAGAACATGAAACTGTAGTAATAAAAAGTATTTTTCAAGACTTAAATACTATTTGACATCTAGCAATTGAAAACTAAAAATAGAGAACATGCAAAATATGATTAGAAGAGAAGATAAAAAGAAATTAATAGCCTTAATTGAACGTCTACAAAAGTCATTACCCTACTAATTAGTTGTTAGAAAAGTGTTGTATAATAATGTAGCTTTAAAATTATGTTCAAGTTCCCTGCCACCCCTGCTCCCCAAAACAATGACCCTGAATGATTTCTCCAATAATTGATAATTCCTTTTTCTTTTAAGATAATTTTATTATACTTACAAACGAAAATATAAACTCAAGGAAAAGTTTATACGTATATATTTTTATCCATGTTTAACATATATCAATGTAATCATTACTATTTTATCATACTAAAATTAGTATAAATAATATATAGTCTCAAGAACATAATTATATATATATATATATATATATATATAAATATTTATTTATAATGTTATACTTATATTTTATATTATCGTTCTATCTTTTTAATATCAATATCTTTTTAGGAAAAGTTTATGTAAAGCAAATTATGGGTGCTTGTCAAGAGCCAAATGTTACATGTTGAAAGTTGAGTACCACCTTTCAAAGGTATAAAGTTGTATTAAGGGTTAAATGTTACATGTCAAAGGTCGAGTACCACCTTCCAAGAGTATAGAGCTATAAATTGAGGGTCAAAAGTTACGTGTCGAAGGGTGCATACAACCTTCCAAAGGTTGAGATATGCATTCCAAAGGTTGAGAGTTACCTGTCGAAGGTTATCTTCCACATATCGACATCCAATTACTACCTACCAAAGGTAAAGCGCTACCTATTGAGGACCACGTGCTTCTTATCGAGTGTGTACTGCCTGTCAGGAATTCATGTGTATTGCAGGTTCCATGTGTTGCGTATCGAAGATAATAATGAACCACTCGTTGTATAACTTAGCCAAAATGGATCAACCATCACCTCAAGTAAATGGGTCATTAGGCCACTAGGCCCACACCCAGGGCAATTTAGGTAAAGGCCAACAAGTATTAAATTGTGCTATAAATACAATAGTAATCAAGGTTTGGATTTACTTTTAACATTAATTGTGATTTTCCCTACTGATGCATAGTTGACTTGAGCGTTGGAGAATCTTCTATAAACACAATCGTCATATAACTTGCAAAGGATGAATACCGGTTGAAAGAAGGAAGAGTGNTTATATATATATATATATATAAATATTTATTTATAATGTTATACTTATATTTTATATTATCGTTCTATCTTTTTAATATCAATATCTTTTTAGGAAAAGTTTATGTAAAGCAAATTATGGGTGCTTGTCAAGAGCCAAATGTTACATGTTGAAAGTTGAGTACCACCTTTCAAAGGTATAAAGTTGTATTAAGGGTTAAATGTTACATGTCAAAGGTCGAGTACTACCTTCCAAGAGTATAGAGCTATAAATTGAGGGTCAAAAGTTACGTGTCGAAGGGTGCATACAACCTTCCAAAGGTTGAGATATGCATTCCAAAGGTTGAGAGTTACCTGTCGAAGGTTATCTTCCACATATCGACATCCAATTACTACCTACCAAAGGTAAAGCGCTACCTATTGAGGACCACGTGCTTCTTATCGAGTGTGTACTGCCTGTCAGGAATTCATGTGTATTGCAGGTTCCATGTGTTGTGTATCGAAGATAATAATGAACCACTCGTTGTATAACTTAGCCAAAATGGGTCAACCATCACCTCAAGTAAATGGGTCATTAGGCCACTAGGCCCACACCCAGGGCAATTTAGGTAAAGGCCAACAAGTATTAAATTGTGCTATAAATACAATAGTAATCAAGGTTTGGATTTACTTTTAACATTAATTGTGATTTTCCCTACTGATGCATAGTTGACTTGAGCGTTGGAGAATCTTCTATAAACACAATCGTCATATAACTTGCAAAGGATGAATACCGGTTGAAAGAAGGAAGAGTGACTGATGAAGTGAAGGTTAAAGGAGTTTATGAAGTTGAAGTCTCTTTACAGTGTACCTCTTCGGCTCTATAAGAGCAATTGACACCCACCATGGGGCTCGAACCCATGACCACAAGGTTAAAAGCACCATTGTTGTTTCAACATGTTGACGTCTTCTTTCACGGCTCAGTTCACCACAAGCTATCATCACAATTTTACCTCTTTGGCACTTTTCAACTTCAAATAGGAGAAGGATGAACCTTTGAGAGCCTTCATGAAGACGTTCACTAAATTACCTTTAAAGATAAGCAACCTAAACCCCAAGTTCGTTCTACACTACATGATCACGATATTGAAGTCGAATTCATTTGTTGATGATTTATGTATGATGTCGCCGAAAAGCATGGATGAGCTGAGATTGAAGATTGCCAAATTTATGCATCTAGAAGAAGTTAAAGAGTACCGAAGTAAGGTGAGAGCTTAGAATATGCTAGTGGAAAGGAAGGGCAACTGATGAGTGAATACATATGCCCGCATTTTAGGTTTAATTTTGAATTTTTGATGGAATTTTTCTGTTTAAAATATTGATTTAAATAAGATTTGTGATAATATAAATTAAGTTTGGGAAATAAAATGTCTTAAAAAGTGATTTTTAGTTGCATAAATTATTCTTGGATATTCTAATGTTTGTTGGTATAGTTGAAGTTAAATTTTGATTCATTTAAAGCATGAAATTATATCATTCTAAGTTACAAAATAAGTCCAAAATATGAAAATTCTAGAAAGAAATATACAAGAAGTTGAATGCACCCCCTAGTTTTCACTTATACACTTCCTTTCTAAGAAATGGGCCACAAAATTAATTTTTACTCTTACACCCCCTAATATATCTATTTTCACCACTAATCCACCATTTGCTAAGCAACCCAATCTGATGTAGACACATGGCATAATCCTTGCTCTCACAAGTAGATCGATCAGATTGTGCGATGTCATCATCTTCAATCTCTCACCATCCAACAGAAATCCTAGCTCCTTCAATTCTAGATGTCGACAACAACTATGAACCATCGCTAGTGGCACTCCTATGCGTCATTCATCCATTGAAGCTGTTAG